TCCCGAGGGCTACGCCGGCATCGTATTGCGTTCTCCGGAAGACGTGAAAGGGAAGGGAGTGGCACCCGTGGCAAAGCGTCAGGACGAGGAGAAGAAGTCGAAGACTAAAGGCCGTTCGACACGGCGGTCGAAACGCGCACAGGAGGTGATCGAGGTACAGGACGATGAGGAAGCTATGGATGTCTCGGGTAGTCAAGATGTCGCGACTGAGGAAGAGCCAACGCGAACCCTGGAGCCGACCTCGACATTCTCGTCGTTTGTGCTATGGACTCCAGACAACCCTGTCGACGCAGGACGCGACGAATATCTGCGTTCTCTGAAGGAGTGGACAAGACTTGCTGCCGAAGTGAGTGACCATGCTGTTCTTTTGCCGCCGCATCCCGCTCAACCAATCGTGTAGATCCATAAAGTCGAAGACTGATACGACTGTACTATCTATACGCTTCATCGCAGCTCCTCATGCCATCTTGCTATATGGAAGAGCATTACACCGCGATTGACAGCTTACTCCTGGACATTGCCATCGCATACAACCTCTCCCTATTGCCGCTCTCGTCCACCAATGCGCGGAATATGCCTGTGGAGGAGCTCGCTTGGCTTCCCGTATTCGACCTGTGTGCGTTGTTCAGCAAGGCCACATATTTACAAGATGACAAAGACGTACAATCCGTCCTGCGTCAAAGACCATCTGTAGTGCAATGAGTCTGGCGGGTATAAACCATGGCATTTGTCTGCGTCCATGATCGTCTGCAGACGATGAGCGACGGTTAGAGGGTCACGTCCTTGCCGAGCTCTGTGCGGAGCGAGTTCTGGATCATGTTGTCCGTTTCGTAGTCTGCGACACGAGTCTGTCAGTTTGTCTGATGCCGACAAGCGACGCCAGAACGAACCTATGGCCGACGTAGCCTCGTCGAGGATGAGAAGCTAGCTTCGTCGCGCAATCGCCCGTGCAAGCGCGAGAATCTGTCGCTAGCCAACGGAGAGGTTCGCGCCGCCCTCGGCGATCTCGCTGTCGAGGGTGATGCGAGACTGGGCGGCCTCGTCTTGCAGGTTGAACAAGCCGGCCGAGCGGAGCGCGTCGTTGAGCACGGCGTCGGTGAGCTCCGAGAATGGGTCGAGGTTCTGGCGGAGCGTTCCGCCGAGGAGTTCCGGCTACGAGCGATGGACCAGCTTAGGATCTATCGAATATAAACACGAAGGAGGAGGGCTATTGATCGTGATGCTGGGGCGGAGCGCGTCGAGGTTGGGTCTGTCTATAGGGAGGCCGTCGTACAAGATGGCCCCCTCGGTGAGGATGCAGTGTAGGAGAGCCAGAGTGAGAGAACTCTGCGGTGGAGGTCAGTGTCTGGTCGTTCTCCTATCATGGACATATTTTACCTTCCCGCTTCCAGTGCGACCCACTGATGAATTGGGGTGATTCAGTCAATGGTTGATGCGTTGCCTCCATGAGTGGTAACACTCACCAATCCCGACGCGCTCTCCAGGAGCAACTTCGAAGGTCACATCGTGTAGTACTTTCGGCCCATCCTGGAGAGAGGCTCAGGACGAGTGCTCTGCATCATATGTCGCTCGAGGCGTTCTCACCTCGGAGTATCGCGCGGACAGGTTCCTCACCTCAAGCTTGCCGCTGGCGGGCCAGTATGCGGGTGGCACACCGTCCGGACGTGACTCTGGCTCGTGCTCAATGGTGAGGTACTGCTGAATGCGCTCCAGACTAAGCGGTGTCAGTTAGTCGACTCCCAGTAGTAGCCAAGACTATATACTCGCCTGTTTGCTGTTCAGGGATGAGCATGCTGTTGATCGCGACACTGGATAGTTGCACTCCACTCACCTGATGCCTCGAAAAAGTTGCCTATCCGCACCCACTCGCAGAAACTGCTGCTGAATGTGGCTGCGTGGAGCGGCGTGAGCCTACGGTCGTCGTGTCCCGGAATTGAAGACTTTCGGATAATCACTGGCGACTATCAAGGAGAAACCCGTGTTGACGCGCGAAGTCGTGAGACATATAGCGAGAGCAGTCGTATAGAGAGACCCCATGAAGTCGACGCGTACTGTCATCCAACTGCACTCAGTCGGACACGCATATTCATGCATAGAAGGGGTCTGACCTACTAGTTGAGCACCGAGTCAGCTATCGGATGCGTCTCGTACTGCCATGCGGCCCATACGCCGAGATACCAGAGCTAGAGCCCTCCGATCCGTTCAGCTGTCGAGGAATTTGGCTCGAATCGAGTGCCATGCGTACTGACCTGGATGTTTTGATGTTTTGCCGTACAGCCTGGCTATCCATATGGATAAGCCAGAACGATATGTTACGGCAAATGATCGTGTTGGAGCTTGACAGGAATCGATGCAGTGGTCGTCTCGCCGATCATAGTGAACTGTGCGTGACACGGTGGCTGAGTCACACCGTGACCGCCTAATTCGTGATGGACGCCAGCAGTGAACGCCCGGTCACCGCCGTCTACCACCCGCAGGTTGGACGTAAAGCACAGGTACGTATATCGGGAGTCTCTACTCACTTCTACTATTGTCCCCTTCGGGGTGACATACGAAAAAATTGGAACGATACAGAGAAGATTAGCATGGCCCCTGCACAAGGATGACACGCTTTCCCGGAGTGGTAGACCTACGGGTCTCAATATTTATTTTTCAAAGTCAAAGGTCCTTCGTCTTCTCGACCAAGTATAAGTTCCAGCTGTTTGTCATGGTCGCGGAGGCTTATAAATAACTCGGAGGCTGGCTATCATCAATTTCTTCTAGGGAATTCCTTATGATTCAGCCAGGCTCCCCTACTTCATGCTAATACTATGTACATCCAGAGTGTAGATATGCAAGCAAACGTCTTCAAGCTTCGCCGCATCTCTATATGACAGTGTCGCCCGAAGAGCGCATCGCCCATTAAACCGGCGGCGCATACGTATACACCGTAACCCGCCCGTCGACATGCCCAACAGCGACCTGGCCTTCCTCCTCGTTTACGGCAACCCTGCTCCATGGCTCTCGCTCGCCCTGCACATGCATCACCGCAACCGACGCATCCGCCGTCGTCGCCGCACTATTGCTGCCGTCCAACGACATCGCGTTGAACAACGCGGGGTCGATCTCCTCCCCCGGGCTCACCACGTCGTCCTCAGTCCGCGCACGGTCCCGGGTGGACCTCGGAGACCCGCCGACCCCGCCGCGCGCGATCACCTTGCACGCGATGCGCTGTCCGTGGTCGCCCGCCTGCGATGGCGTCGTCGGGTCCGTCGAGGCGTCGAGCCAGAGTGCGGTCCCGTACGGGCCGAGGACGAGGTCGGAGGGCGTGAAGAGGCGGAGCGGGGACGGGATCGAGTGCGCCATGTACGGCGCGTCCGCGGACGCGGCGAGGTATGGGAACGTCGAGGAGTCGGTCGCGGAGAATAGCTCGCGCAAGAAGGCGGGGTTGGGCGGGAGCACGAAGTGGTGGAGGATGTTGACGGGCCAGGGATACCAGGTGTCGAAACGGATGAGGATATCAATCGTGGGTGGCTTGCGGCCGCCCCCGTTGGGCGCGGGGAGCTTGGACGATATGGCGCGCCGAGGGTTGACGGTGATCGTGTCGATCCGCCATCGCCATTTGTACTTCGCGATCGGGTCAAGACGTGGCGGATGGGATGGGGGAGTGTCTTCACTGTCATCTTGGCTGTCATCGAGCGAAGACGGCAGTCGATAGAGGAATATCCACTGTTTGCAGAACGTGATAACGAAGTCATCGAATATCTCATAGTCTAAGCACTGATGCTCCTGTAATACGGGAGCGATCAGCTCAATACATACGCAATATGGGCTTGCGAGTGGACGCACCGGAAAACGCAGTGTGGGATCGTTGTGCATCACAGTGACCTTTAGCGAGCAGAGCAATTGCCCACTGTCTACGTTCACTACGCGGACTTCGTGGTCGGGTTCTGTTGCAATCAAGTGCGATCCCTCGAGACCTAACGTCGTGCGAAAGCCGTCAAACTGGTTCGTCCGTCTGAACCAGGGATCCTGTCCCGGTGTGTCAAAATCAATGGTGTACGTTGTGGTGATCATCCTTTACACTGGTTAGCAAGCGCAACGTTGTCAACAACAGTATGTGCCCACTGGTCTGCACCGTGTCGGCGTGTCACTGCAAGGACATGCGGACTTTCCGGCGCCGAGTTAGGCGAGTATCCAAGAAGGCCCGCGACAAGCAGCTCCGCGACAGGTTTCATAGTCAATCGATCCGCGTCGGCAGTATGGAGGTCCCAGCACTCGAACGAGTACCTCCGATCATCTCTTTCCGACGAATCGAGCAGGGAGAGCGTGAGGAGATAGCGGCCATTGCAGCCTGGGAGGAAGAACACGGCGAGATTCCGCGTGCGAGCGTTTGCAGCCCACGCACGGCTCGTCGGGCGAATGTCTAATTGGGTGAAGTGCTGGGGTTGTGGAGAGGTCCAATTAGTCCAGAGACGATACGCGCGGATCGTCAGTTGTTCGAGCTGCTCGGCGGATAACTCAGAGTCCAATGCATGCCATCTATTGATGCCCGGTATTGGTATGCCGGCCTGGAGGAAGCGTATAGATAAGGCTTTGTGCCAGACACTCCTGTCGCGGGTAACGGGTTCCAGGTCTTTACATGTCTATGGGGGAAGGAAGACATTACTTCAGTTTCATGAGACAGTCTCGAAGTCATAGAGAGAGTGCGATTGCCAGTCCGATAGCGCTACTAACCTTGCGTATGGTTAGAAGGTCTATGACTTCGAGGTGGATGAATATAGCGAGAAGAACATCTACTGGTAAGCTAGGTAAGTTCATCGTAGCTAGGTCATAAGACGTTAGCTTTGAGGTGTAACTGAGGTTCATCAGACTAACCTATCGTGCTGTCTGCATCTCGTACGTGCTTCTAGTTTCAGTCACAGATTTCCGCCGAAGGAGTACCCTGGGATCAACCATGTACGTGGGTAAGTATCGCTACCCAAGCAGAGTGGTATGTGATTCGTAAGCCCAGTAAATATGGCAATATGGCCGAGCGGTCTAAGGCGCTGGAATCAGGAGACCGTCCTATCCAGTCCGAAAGGGCGTGGGTTCGAATCCCACTGTTGTCATCATTTTTCGACCACAAAACAACCACAGGTGACAGGAATGATAGTCATAAAATCACCAGCAGTCTCAGATGAAGGCATTCGAGTCAACCACGGTAACTTTTGTTCCACTTCTTCAGACTCGCGGCTAGTGTTGCCGCTAATTCGAGTTGAATACGCGAGTTTCGAGGGCAACTCGGTGGCGCGGGCGAGGCGAAGTTCCAACAAATGAGTGGGAATAAACCGGAGATTCATCTCTGATAGTTACTGAGGTGATAATCGAGCAACAGCGGACTACAAGTCAAGACGATGTCGAGGGCTGAACGCGCCTGAACCGGGATAGGCGCTCGTGTTCACGACGCCGACAATACACTCAGACCGGACTGGACTCCGACTGGAGACATTGACTATGTCATAATTGAGACTTGTATGGAAATTCTCATTGAGTTAGCTGCATCATGCTCTTGAGAATGCTCAAAAGTGGCAGGGTAGTTATCTTTGTGTTCCTCCCCGGGCCCGAGGATGCCCCACTCAGCCTGGGCTGCCAGTGGACTCGGAGAGAGGTCCGAAGTTCTGCTTCTGCACGACGTTAACCAGTGTTAACCTCTGACCACTCCGATCGAGTCAGGCTGCCTCAGTGTCATTTGACTTGGCAGACCACGCCAATACTTCGTGTTCTTGAGTAAAACATCAATAATGTAACTAACGGATGCTGTAGAGGGTAGTAAGTGATACATCTGAGGTCATTCGACGGCATGGACTGCAGAAACGGCCTCAACACGACGGGCAAAGGCAGGTGGCAGGTGCTCCCCACCGGAAAAGGCGTGGAAAAACAGCAAAAGTGGACTCCTTTCGCCAGCCTAGTTCCGGGCCAGAAAATGCAAAGAATTCCGCTTACGTGACATTGGTGTCAGGTAAATACCGCTTTGAAGCCCTGGTAGTGGCCATTGACATTACATAAGCGGAAATCCTTTGCGTTTTTCCGGTCCAGAACCAGGCTGGCGAAAGGAGTCCATCCTCCCGCCCTTTTCCACGCCTTTTCCGGTGCGGAACATTCGCCATTGCCCATCGTGCAAGTATGTAATACCATGTTGTACCGTCCGATTTCTGCTTGACGCTGACTTGAGCTCACTTTTTAGATTATATTTATCTCGCTTAGATGACATGTTTATCTAGTGGACTGTTATCTATGAGCTCATGTGGAAGCGGACCTCCATAGACATTGGCCCTCAGCTAACAAGGCAATATGGCCGAGCGGTCTAAGGCGCTGGAATCAGGAGATCGTCCTATCCAGTCCGAAAGGGCGTGGGTTCGAATCCCACTGTTGTCATCATTTTTCGACCGCCAAACAACCACAGGAATGCTAGTCATAAAATCACCAGAAGTCCCAGAAGAAGGTACTTGGGCCAACGACGGCAAGTATCGTTCGACTTCTTCAGACTCGCGGGCCTACTCGCGACGTCCAGATGCCGTACGCGTATCTCCCGGCCCTAAAGACCCATAAGTCTCAAGTACTCACATGCTCGGTTGTGGGCTGGCGCTTCTTGCTTCAGCTGGACATAGATCTTCTGCAGACCGTTGCCACTCTATATGCGAGTCATAACTCCAACTCATATAACCCAACGGCCAAGCAAGATGATGCCATTTGACATTATGTCTCCGACTTAGTCGCGAAGCATACTTATGCAGGGCTCACGGAAGCAATAATCTATCGGAACGCGCATAGTACTGCCAATGTCATCGCGACGCGTATCAGGCGTCCAGTGACTCCTCCTCCTCCGAACCGTCACTAACGACCTAGCCTTCCACCCTGCTTGGTTCCCTCATACAGGCCTGTAGGCGATGGCATACATATGTCAGGGTTTGTGAACTGTTGGATTGACCAGACTTTTCCCTTCTGCAGGCCATCACTTGAATCGTGCTCTCGTTCATGGTCCTGCCTCTGGTCAACCGCGACTGAAAGTTACACTGCGGGCTGTCTTTGACAGAATAACGTGCACATCACCACCAACAATCTCCATCTGCACTATGAACGGCACTTCGAAATGGTTCGCCGACCTACTGCAGGCCACACCCACAGACTCCCAAGCTATACATCCGTTGATAACGTCGGGCACAAGGTATGTATAGCAAGACTCTTGTATCGGGATATGGATGGCTATACTCATCGTATCGCACAGTCTCTGGCAGAACTCCCTCGCTATCCCTGCCTACATCGCCTGCACCTCCGTTCTACTCGTTCTAGTTCAGGTCGCATCTCATTCCATATCCGCGCGGAAGCGTGTGATCGAGGGAAATCAACATGAGGACTCAGACACTGCTGCTAGTTGCTTTCGTCTTCGTCGCAGCTGTCAAAACCTCGGTGGAGTGTCTATTTCCATATTCAGAGGTCTACAAGTGCTTGCCGTGCTTGCTCTCCTAGGCCTGTCGATTGCGCAGCTAGTCTCTCAGGCGCTGAGCACCGTACCTGGTCAGTACGCAGAACGTGCGCAGCACGAGACGCTGCAGATTTCTCAGTGCGCGATATATGTACGTTGCCGACACGTCCTGATAGTGATCACACCGCTGACGTCTGGAGACTGGCACAGGCCTATTTATCCGTTCTTGGGCTATTATCTCTCTTCGGCAGTCCTACTATCAGCACCTGGGCTTATCTTCATATGACATGGACTCTGGTGTCTACATGGGGCGTCTACCTGTACCGCGACGTCTGGCCTCTCGCGACATTCCATCTCACTCCTGTGGATGAGGACGAAGGATCGCTCCTCTGGGTCAAGCTAGGCCTGCTGACGATCGCTGGTGTATTCATTCCTCTTTTTGTGCCCCGTAAATATACCCCCGTAAACAGCAAGGTAGCCAGGCTCTTCAAACTCCCTACATTTGTCGTACTAGCTGACAGTAGTTCTAGGATACCTTAGAACCTCATCCCGAGCAAACGGCGTCGATACTGTCATACATCACCTACACTTCCGTCTCACCTATGGTATGGCTAGCATACAGAGTCCCACAGCTTCCATTCGACCAGTTTCCGCCTCTACCGGACTATGATCATTTGCGCAACATGACGCAGCGGAGCTTTGCCGTGAGCATGAGTCCATATTCAGTACATCTCAGGCTGACGTAGACATTCGGCCTAGTATCTCGACCCTCTAGTCAGTGGATCTCGTCGCCACCTCGGCCTCAAGCTCATGCGTCTATTCTGTACGTATTGTTACCTGATCAATCGGACAATAATTGACAGTAACAGGGGTCGAGATGTGCACACTTGCCGCTCTATCGCTCGTCATGGTGGGTACGACGGTCATGGTCCAAGAGTACTTGCTCACTTTGCATAAGGTGGCTGGAGCTTTCGCTGCGCCGATAAGTCTCAATAATCTCTTGAAGTAACCCTCGACACCTTTTTCTATGCCCACTTCCCGATCTCACAAAACATCACAGATACTTAGAAGTAGACGGTACCGACCAAGATATCAGACCATGGCTATGGATCGCTATACTTTTCATAGGTCAATTGAGCCGTAGCCTCTCGGGGCAACTATACGACTACCGTGATGTGAGTGTGACCCATCAGGTATCTCAAACGAGCAAAAGTGTTGATACTGAAGTCATCGGTAGGCACGACTGAATACTCGTGTCAAATCCCTTGTCACGGAACTCGTTTTCGAGCATGCCTTGAGAATCCGGATGGTAGCGGAGACATCCGGCTTAAGCGCACACAGCAACAGCGTCGACGCACTGAACTGTAACAATACAGAGGCAGTTGCAGAGAAGCCGAACGTGAACGTCGTCGGGAAGATCAACAACTTGATCTCGAGCGATGTCAGCGCTCTGGAATACGCGCCAACCTACGTTCTCTTCTTGGGTACGCATATCTTCCTGTATCGTAATTGGCTAGCACTCACCTCGTGGGGAACAGTGTGCGAGTCGCCCGTACAGATCATCTTGTGCATACTCTTTTTATATCGAATTCTCGGTTGGAGGTACGTCAGTCATCGCTCACCATTTCTGACGCTCACCATCGCTTCCTGTAGTGCGTTTGTGGGACTCTCGGCGATGATCGTGACTCTGCCGGTGTCCGGATATCTAGCCCAGTTTATACAGAGCACCCAGAACGAGAAGATGAAAAGGGTGCGTTTTCACATGCATGTTTTGAATAGCTTGATGACCAAGATCTCCGCGATTGTCTAGACTGACTCTCGCGTACAACTTGCCACGGAGGGTGCGTGCAATGTTTATTCTCAGATGGCATTCCCACTGAGAGGTCACGCAGTGTTGCACGTAATCCGTATGATCAAGTTGTTTGGATGGGAGCGGCGTATGTCTGCCCAGCTGGACGAGAAGCGAGAGCAGGAGCTTGTTTATATTGGTAGAAGCCGGATGCTCGAGCTGCTCTATACTCTCTGCAAGTGAGTGTTATTAGAACCTCTACGAACCGACGGACTAAGTCTGAAAATCCAGCTACACCATCCCCATCCTGGTCATCATATCGACATTCTTCACATATGTGAGCGCGGTCTCTCAACTGTTGAAAATCGACGCTCATGGTCTACCCAGGCGGTCATTATGAAGGGAACATTGACAGGTATGTGATCGATATTCGTACTCAATATATGCGCCAACACGACGCCTCCAGCGGCGAAAGTCTTTTCTGCGATATCTGGTAAGTTGGACTTCAGATCTTCAGATATTCGGGGTACTGTTTCTGTTTCTGACGATGAGCGTAGTCCTGAACATGCTCCAGTTCGACCTTCAGCTCGCTTCTCAGTTCATACCGGGTCTAATTCAGGGTATGTATCCTGCGCGAGCATGACGTCGAAATGCTCATTATCCACATCGCATTGCCCTCTACAGCGAAGGTGGCGGTCGAGCGTATCCAGGACTTCTTGGAGAACGCAAGTGCTTATCATGTCTGCGTATTGTCTATTCACTGACTCTCCGTGACCTCTCATCAGACTGAAGTCATCGACCGTTTCACGGAGCCGCCTAGCACCGAGACTATCGTTTCTCTCCAGAGTTCCAGCCAC